CAGAGGTATGCGATGATCGAACTCCCAGTGTGGAGGTAGTCCCTTAGGTTCGCCCAGTACTCCCTCGAATTCCTGGAGAAGCTCGTGCACATCTCCCTGCTGTTGCTCCTCTTGATCTATGAGCGCCTCAGTCTTCTCCACTAGTACGGCAAATATTTGGCCTCCTCCCCGCCAGACCTTCTCAATACTCTTAAGCCCTACTTCTTTGGCACCTTTTTCATTGCCCGCACTGAGTGTGACTTGCTGACCTCCGGAGTTGAACTCCATAGTTCATGTTCGATAGTCAGTGGTCACCTTGCCTAACCCCTCGAGCCATTGTACTCCTAGGACGACATCCGGCCCAACCAGAGGTAAGGCATAGAGATCAGCCTTCACCGTAACTCCACTGAACCTGATTGGCACCTTCCGAAAGGATTTAGTGCATTGCAGCCCTTCACCATTGGCTACCCGTACCTCAAAAGGTTCAATATCCGTGGTTGGTAAGTTCAGCTTTTGGGAAAACTCGGCATTGATGAAGTTGTGTGATGACCCGTTGTCTACTAGCACCACCACCTTTCGATCCTTGACCCAGGCCGGAAACCGCATCGTTTGAGGCCCTCGTATCCCGGCCATCGCGTGCATTGAGATTTCCGCTTCTTCGTCAGGCCCTTCAACTACGATATCCTGATGTGGTTCCTCCTCGTTCTCAGATCCTTCCTCATCGGGATTAGCAACTTCGATCACAAAGGCTTGCTTACACTGATGACCCGGTGTAAACTTCTCCTCGCACTTAAAACATAAGCCTTTCTCACGTCGACGTTTAACTTCCTCGGGAGATAGCCGCCTCACTATCGACCCCGCTGGCCGATTGCTGACGCTCGGCCGTGCGCCAGCCGTGGCTGGGTTTGGCCCCGTGCGCCGCGTGTCGGTGTATCGCACATCCGCCCGTCCCCTTCGCGTAGCGACTAGATGGTCTTCTCGTCGGCGGGCCACCTCCATGGCGTTATGCATCGTGTCCGGCCGCTCCAGTCGGACTTCTGCGGCTAGATCGAATCTCAGTCCAGCTACGAAGGCCCCTACTAGCGCATCTTCAGACCAATCTCGCACGCGACAGGCCAGTCGTTCAAACTCCTTGATGTATTCACGCAAATTGCCTGTCTGTCGGATTCGCGCGAGCGCCTCATTATAATTATGGTAATCGGACGTGCCAAATCGAGTAAGCAATTCTCTCTCAAAATCAGCCCATGTAATGACCTGCTGCCGCCTACGGTAGATCCAGGAAAGCCACTGCCACCATACGTTGGCCTCACCATCTAAGTAGAATGCTGCGTACCTTACTCGATCGTGGCCATCGGTTTCATTCAGTTTGAAATATTGCACGATTCGGTTGAGCCACGACTCCGGATCACTACCCGTGAAGATGGACATTACGAACCTCGGCTTGTCGGGCTTAGGCCGCTCACGGTTGGTGGATGCTTGTGACCGCCGGTCGAACTCATCCTCGTGCTCGTAACCCCCGCGTCGCCGGTCCTCGTCGTGTTCGCGCGCGCGTCGTTGCTCGCGTCGATCCTCGCGCCGTGGTGATGGCGTGCGATCGGCGTGTGGGCGCGGTTCGCGCCTTGGGGGATCATAGTGATGATGTGGGGCTTGCTGCTGGAACGCGCGCAAGACTTCCTCTAATCGCTGTTCGAGTCTTGTGACAACAACGTTGGTGTTGTTTTGACTTTCGTCAAGCGATCCCAGCCTTCCTTCCATAACCTCGCTCATACTTCGCATCTGGATGTCAAGATTATCGATCTTATCCTTCATCTCCTTGTTGGCCATGGCTTTTTTTTCTTCTCTCCGCTCTTTGCTTTGTGGACTCGTGGTTGAGACGATGATGAACGAAAGTTTTTTTTATTTATTTTTTTTATTTTTTTTTTTAGGGGGGACGAAAAAAAAAGAAAAAGAAAGGGAATGGGGTAGAAGAAAAACACACGATCAACACCTCTCAATGAAAGCACCAATGATGAGGATCGTGTGTTTCGACTGCCGATAAGCCGCTAACCCGCGCCTTGAATCGCCGATAGTGTTCCTCGAGCCACAACAGTGCCTCTAAGAACGAATAAAATTGCTATAGTATTCTGGTGAAAAGACTAAAGCAAAGTTGGAAGAACAAAGTTCTAGATTTCTATTGATGTCTTTTATGATGAAAAATAACATGGGGTAAGGGCCTTTATATAGGCATAAAATTATATCTAAGCCTAATCAATCTAGGGGTTAAATAAAGCAATAAAATATTAAGTATCCTAGACAATCTAGATCTCATAATGTAAGATGGTAACAACTTGACTTGCACTCCACTCAAACTCTCTCTCTCTCTCCGGTCCTACGCACGCGGACGCCTCGTCCAACCTCCTCACTTGCGCGCCGCCTCCATCGGCCCTACTCCTTAAGGATTAGGGCACCGCCCTTAGCGCGTGCACGCTTACCCGACGTGCGGCGCACGCTTGCTCCCATCGTGCCGTCCTCGCGCGCGTGTCCACCCGCCATTCCGCATTCCTCGAGGACTACGGCTTCGCGTCCCGCGCGTCTCTCCTCATCAGGCGTGTTG